TCCTTTTTCTCCCTTCAGCTCCGCCTTCAAACTCCTCTGCGCGAGCCCCACCTGAGGCAGCCATTGGCCGCGAGACGTAAGAGCTCGTCGCTGATTGGTGGAGCGCCCAGAGAGACACCAGTTTGATTTGTGCTTTTGTTATGACTATGACGCTGCTCAGACGTTATTCATAAATGGTGGATATTATAAAACAGCTCCCCACCTTCACCTACACCTCCCTAAAATCAGTCTGGAGGGAAGATCTCCTTACAGAGGCCTCCACCCTCCAACTCACAAACACACGGAGACATCGCCGGTAACGCAATCCTTTCGTCTCACCTTAAAAACTTCACAAAAAGAGTAAACACGTCGGTTAAAGTCTGGCCTTAATGAGCACACAGGTTTAAACACAATGGCTTCTCTGCGTCAGTCAGCCCTAAACATCTAGTGTCCATTGTAAAAACCAAAAACAAACGTGTTTATATATTTATTTGTTTTATTTATAAAATGTAGTAAACTTAAAAAAACATTTTGTTTCATAAAAAAGTAAAATCTTTACTGGTTAAATGTTTATTGTTTAATGACTTCGTGTCACCACCAGTCTCTTCTAAAATATTTTTTCTCCCTATATTATAAAATATAGTATTATAATTATCTAAAAAAATATTATTTTATAATTAAATAAGAAATATATTTGACATTATTATTGTTGTTTTTGTTATTATTATTGTTCATTGTTCATTTTTGTGTCTGGACTTATGTGTTTAACAACCTTTAAAAAAAGTATAAATATTCTGTATAAATATTAAACTTCTGCAACATTTTGTTGGACCGTCAATTTCTATTGTAACGTTTTCTACTAAATGGGATCATCGTTTACATATAGTTAAAAAGGGTTAAAACCACTGTGTGAGGACATTTTCAAATGAGTTTGTTTGATGACTTGTGTACAGTACACTCGTTTGTGTACTTTACATTTGAATAACATGCTCAGTTTATTATTGTTTTATTATTGTTAGTGTTGCGTGAGATTTTTGAGGGAAAATATATGTCACACACACACAAATACTCACGGCCAACATGATGAGATATATCCTGACCAGCAGATACTGTTGACATCAACCTGTCCCGTCTCCTCCACCCATCAATCATCACGGGTTCATTTCAAGGTCTGCCCCTACAGTGGCCACTGCACACCACTCTCGTCCTATTTCACACAGTCAAATTACATTGCGAACATTTATCACACGTCCGTGACACATTTTCTGTTTTGTTTTTTTTTCAGCAGTGAGTCATGAAGAGAAACTTTCAGCCACTGCTCAGACTTGTGTTTATCCCCGGCCTGCCCGGACTTGAACTCTCCGATCCTGTCATCATGTGCACAAGTGTTCTCAGTGTTGAATGTTAGAGCAGAGGTGTCAAACGCAAATTCACAGTGGGACAAAATTAAAAACTGAGATGAAGTCGTGGGCCAAAGTCAATGTTTCTTAAAAATTGTTCATGTTTTCCCTTCTCTCCAGATTTGTAATGCTGAATTTGGCCAAATATAATTACACTGTGGGCCAGATTTGGCCCCCGGGCCTGAGTTTGACAAGTGTGCTAGAGATACAGTGTCACAATCACCACAACATTTTTTCTATATATATTTGCTCTTTTCATTTGCTCTTCACATAATCTTCCCGTTAAACCAGATATTTAATCACACAGTTCCATATTATGACAATCCATCAGTCCATTAGTCAGTCCCCAGAGTCAACACTGCCCCCCCACACACACACACACACACCAGTCCCTCACACACCAGTTGTCCTTGTTAACAAATGAATTTGTGGGTATTGACTGTAGCTCTGGGCGACAGAACGCGCCTGGACGTCCAATCAAATCCAATAGTTCAGTTTCAGTGGACACAGATTCAGCCTAGAGGTGAACTGGTTTGTTTCACTTTGCTCTGACTTGGTCAGTGAGATGCACCGATACATTGGTCTGTACTGGCAGTACTGATCCTTGGTGACCAGTGCTGCCAGTAAAGGCTGGTTGCACAGTAAATACAGGTTATGTGTAGCTGGACAATCTGATTCAATAGTCAATACATCTCTAAACTTTTTTTGCCTGAACTAAAGTTATATTTTACTGATGGTTCAATATTACTTGGTATGAATTGACCTCAGATTGTTGGTATTTTGAGATTAAAACTAAACAATAAAAAACATTTTATTGTAACCAGGTTATTGTTGACATAATGAAACAACTTGTGCAGGTAAACTTTAACTATATACAGCACAAACATATTTATACAAGTGTTCATTCCATGAAATAACCATATTTTGTTTTCCCAGTTTTTGGCTCTGGGAGAAAAAAAACAGCTGATGTTGTTTGGACTGTTTAAAAAGAAAAAGAAAGAAAGAAAAACATAACAGCTGCAATTTTACGTTTTGTTTAATAGTTTTACAAACAATATACACATTTTGTTATTCTCTTAAGCAGTAGTTTCAACAAAATAATAACTCTGCAGAAAATTAAATTAAAATAAAGATGTAGATTATTATTATTTTCATCATAAAGTTACGTAAAACAATTGAATTACAAACGTACCGCCCGGTATATGAACTCCTGACTGCAAGTTTTCATTGGGGACAAAGGTGACTGGCACAGTTACAAACATAAAACTAACCGGGTGTTCGTCGATATTTGTCATTTTGAATTAAAGCAATGTTTTTAACGTGGGAATGTGTCCGTTTTGAAGGTTTATATTCTTCTTCACTTCCGCACTGCTGCAAAAAAGAAGCACATAGAAGGTGGACCTCTAGATCACTTAAAAAACAGCGACATCTACTGTAAGGGATGAACTACGGCAACTCATCATTGACGGCGGCGGGACGTGCAGTCAATGTGTTTGAAGGCTGTTTGTACAGATTTAATACATGACACGTTACTAAATAATAAAACATTTGTTGTATATCTGACAAACCAAACACATAATGTGTAATTTAAATCAAAACAAATCTTATTTTAGACGTAAAATGTACACGACGTGAGACAATATATTTAATTATAACAAAAGCTGACACCGTAATTTGTCCAATGACAGTCATCAACGTAAATCTGCAGTATATTGTACATTTTAACCTTTGTTATTTTCCAACTTTTTCTGAACTAACATTTGACTACTATATTTAAGGTCTATTTACATATTTGTTGACAAATCTAGCAATCAATATTTAACCTAAAGCTGTTTTTTAATACTACTCAGCTATTTTTAATTATCACATTCTGCATATAATAAAAAAAATTCAATGTTTTAAAAGGTGTCTGATTTTAACAACTGAAACCTGTTGGCACACGTCTCTACCGCATCTCCAACAGCTTGGCTGTTGTTTTATCACCATATCTTAGACAAGCATTGAGCTGCGTCTCCAATTATTTACTGAACGTGAATGGAATTTTATGGTTAAAAATGATGAAGCTTTGCAGTAAGTTTTGACTTAACTACATCTGATTTTTATTATTTAAAAAACACGATAACAAAATTGGAAAAGAACGGAACTTTAGTCAATGGACGAGATGGAGATGCAGGTTGTGACCTGGTCAAAAACACCCCCAGATTTCCATCCAGAAATAATTCATTTCAAGAAAAATACTTGTTACTTTCATAAACGGAGGTTAAAGGTTAACATACTTCCAGACTCAATCACTAATGCCCAGTTTTTGACTGTGGTGGGAAGACTTCTGAAATGTATCTTTTAGTCCAACAGAACGACAGAATAAGACAATAAGACGTTGCCAGTCTCGCCCCCTTGTGGGACAAATATGCAGCAGCTCCGGGTTTAAATAGACAGTTTGAAATGGCAAACCAGGACGACCTATTGACCCTCTGCGTTGAACTTTGACACGACGGTGATTCTTTGCTCAACTCTGGACTTGGCAACAGGGCAGAGAGAAAATGGACAGTTTGACAGAAGAGGAGACAACGTCTGCTGAGACACATGTTACAACACAGAGGCTCGTGTTACCAAACGGCTGCAGCACATCAACGGAACATGTGTTACTGGTTCAGCAAGAGAATGAAGCACTGATGGACGATCAGCTCAGGCAGGAAGGTGATATCTGAGATGAGAGCACAGAATGAAAGAGAGATTTTTGAAAACAGCCAACATAGATTGTATGAACTGTATACATTTATATATATATTAAAATATATAGTAAAATATTTTACATTTAAATATAATGTATAATTTACATAATTACATAATAAATATTTTTTAATATATATAAAAAAAAATCATTTTTTTAGTCCAAATCCAGCTTTCATTCTTCTTACATTCCCAGATTATAATAGTACTTTTTGACAATAAAATATCAACAAAACAGTAGAGATTTGACAATTTATTTGATGACTTTTTCAGAGAATAGACTCCCAGTTAGATACTGTAGATAGATAGATAGGTGGATGGATGGATGGATGGATGAATGGATGGATAGATTGACCTTTTGGTCTGTTGTTGTTAATGTGAGTAAACAGTATATGACTGTATTTTTGTACCACCAGAGGTAAATATAATAGGTTTACTCATACTTTCCACCATGATTATATCATGAATACTACAGTATGGTGTCAAAAACAAACTTTTCCAATCTGGTTTAAAACACTGTATTGTTTTAATAGATATATAAACAAGGAAATATTTAAATTTCTAACCCCGATCTCACTGTTCCAGTGGCCCACACTGTACATCCCGACACACTCAGGTCTCAGCCCAGAGATACCGTGTACTGTCCATTAGAATATCCGCCCCTCGTCAGCACTCTGTCAAGTCAAACAAGTGAGGTTTCATTTTATTTATTATTTATCATTTTACATAGGAAAAGAAGCTATCAGTTATCCCCAACTGTACTGTCATTCACATATTGTAGCTCTTGTTTCTAGGCGATTATTGTGTATATTCTTACAAAACAAAAAGTGATTTTCAGGGACAATCTGTACAGGCTGTTCAAAACACATCCTTCTCATAAAAGCACACAGAGTCATCGACAGGAGAGCCAGGTTTTAGTGCAGTGGTGAAAACCTGGCTCTCGCACACTCACACGTATAGATATAAAAGAAACAATCAAGTTGCAGGTACGTGTGTGAATTACATGTGCAGTAAGTGTCTGCGCTCATCCGCTAAGACACAGGAGGACACGTTGAAGCAGGTGCACTCTGGGTAATAACAAGGAAGGCAGGTGATGGAAGGAACGACCGTCACTCAACAAATTCACCCGGACTGTTTGTTGTGTTTTAAAACAGTGTTTCCCAACCCTTCTTGAGCCATAGCATATTATTTACGACAGAAAAATCCCATGGTGCACCATGCCGTAAAATTTCCCAAAAGGAATTTGAAAAAAGGAACTTTAATTTACATACTTCAACCTAGTCCTGTTTAGTTGAACACAATATTGATATACTCCTAGGAATTGAAGAAAGACACAAAGATTTGTCTTTTCCTTTAAGTTTTTAAGTCATATGCTGCCACCTAGTGACAGAGTGTTTAATGGTTCTACTGTTCACCGTAGCACTGATGAATAAAGACTATAATAGTTTTTAGACAAATTAAGCAAAACTTTTTTTCCACAGCGCACCTGACGATCTCTCATGGAACACTAGCTAGCTACGGCCCAGTGGTTGGGAATCAGAGTTTTAAAGGACCAATCCGGAAAACTGTTCCATTAACACAAACTTACACAAATCAAAAAAAAAAATACTAGTTGTTCAAGTTTCACACTCAGAAACGTCCCTCACGTGGAAGAGTTTAGTGACAAGTGAAAGCGCGAGGCGTTCACGTGTAGAATCTGGATTTTTCGGCCTTAGAAAAAAAAACAAGCTACGAACAACAACGGTGAAACATTTACTCTCCTCTCCGCCACAGAAACGACGTGGCAGTGAGGTTCGAACCCCTCAACATTTTCACCAGATCTGCTTCCAGAAATCACCAGGACAAAAACAGTTTTCACAAACAAAGGTTTTAAATAAATATAGCTCTATCTGTAGATTTTCTTTAATAAAAAATAACCTCAAAGTAAACTCTTACAATAAGGGGCCAAGCCCTGCTCTAAACATCCAGAGAACAGTCCTGCAGATAAACCATACAGCTCAGAAGACAGGTTTGTATCCAAATTGATTTATGACAAAAACAATGAAGAAATGTGATCATCAGCGAGTGATTAGAACTCTATAATAATAATAATAAAAAAACATAACCCCTGTAAGTAGCAAACGTCACCGGAACCAGCATCTTCCGCACTAGCCTGTGAGCCTATGAAGACGCAGAATTATTTAAATGTGATAAACTTTCATATTTTAGGCAACGAAATTTTTTGTACAGCACAATAAACGGTGATAAAAATCAGAAAAAATTTGACTCAGAAAAAGAACAGAACAAACGGATCGAAAGGAGGAAGAAAAAAAAAAGCCTTCACTTGGCAACTACTTTATTAGAGAACAGTGAAAATCTGTAACCCACCAGTTTATGATTAAATATGAAATTTAAAAGTGTGTCATATGGCCCCTGTAAGAACACAACAGTCATACATTAGTCTGGCCCGTTACCCATGTTAACATTTCAAAACGTCCTTCAGTTCATATTGGCAAGACACACAGACACACACACACACACACACACATTCATACACACAGCCACACAATACTGTTAGTGTGGTTCGTTCAGTGAAGTCTGATGCGTGTCGTGGCTGGCTGCGTGACGGAGGACGGGGAGGTGGCGAAGGTGCCGATGATCGTGACCACAGCAGCCGTTGCACACCAGCGAGGTCAGAGAAGGAGCGATACAGTGAAAAGGTCCGTGTCCATTTTTTTTGTACCGGTTGAACGACAGGTACTGTACCCCCTTGGGTTCGCCGTGGTTTTTTTTTGTTTTTTTTGCTCAGACGTCACCACACCCGTCGGCCGGGCAGAGAACGCTACTGAATGACGACGACCGTCCGTGTTTCGACTGTGGTCCAAAAGCAGCTTGTCCAGTCCATCAACCAGACAACCCCTCCCCCCTTATGTCCAGTCACACATAAATCCATAGCAGCAGGTAGATCGAGGGTCTGCCTCTTCGAGAAAAAAAAACAAAAAAAAAAATAACACACAAAAATAAAATAAAATAATAATAATAATACACTTTTTGTCATCATCCGGATGAAAAGCAAGCTATGGTGAGCTACCAGTTCTGGGAAGTGGCAGATGTCTTTTTGCTTTGTTCTCCCCTCTGTTCGCTTTGCCATTGGAATCCAAGCAACTGACAAATGTCCTCTGTCCTCAGTCTCTTCTCAGATTTTGTTTTTTTATTTCCCCATGTTGCTCTTCATACCCCGCAGCCCACCCAGAAGTCAAACCCTGGCCCCGTCTCCGTCCCCACAGTTCCCCTCATCCTCTCCCAGACGAGGATGAAGGCAGATCACCGTTCGGGCTCCGACTCCAGGGCCAGCACCCGCTTGCGTTCGCGACACTGCTTCTTGTGGGCCGGCCAGTCTCTCTGCTGACACTGGGAGCCACAGTAGCGCGCCACCTGGCAGCGACCGCAGATGTTGAACTCCCGGAGCTGTGAAGAGACCAGGAACATAAACTGCCAGGAATCTTTTATTTTTACACATTTATTGAAGTAATTAAGTAACAAAAGGCTGCGTACACAATTTTTTGCCCCTGCTCCTTGTAAGCGATCTTCTGAAGAACACTAGTTCAGTACTGATCGCCTTTTCATTTTATATCCTCCAAATTTTCACTGCCGTTACCTTACAGTGTATGTGTCAAACTTAAGGCCCAGAGGCCAAATGCGGCCCGCCAAGTCGATTTGTGTGGCCCCCAGTCAGTACCACCCGTTACACATGACCTATTATTTGAAATATTTCTTTAAATTATCTTTAAATTACAAAGGTAAATTAATTTTTAAATTGACTGGATTTTCTTTGAATGAAGTAAATTAGTAAAAATTAAGTTCATTTTTCCACTGTAGCCCAGTACCAAATGACCTATGGACTTGTAATGGTCTGCAAACCGGGGGTTGGGAACCCCTGATCTATACAGTCTTCCATTTACAACCGGCCCTTCAAGGGGAACTGTATTGCTGATGTGGCCGCCTGGTGGAAATGAGTTTGACACCCCCTGCCTTACATCATTGTTTGTTGTGGTTTAGGCCACAGTTAGAGTTGCAGTAAAAACTGTCCATCTAGAACTAAACCTCTGACCTTATGTTTATGTAGTAATACACCAGCCCTTTCTCTCCTCATGCAGGGATTTGATCCTTTGATTTCTCTCAGCCACATAATTAAGTTAAGTCTTTTAGGCTAATATTTAGATATTGTTGCATTAAAGGACATACCCTCCTCTCAATGAGTGAACAGGGAGGATAATGACACTCGTAGTAGGTGCAGGAGCACTCCTCTTCCTCCACCAGCTCCCCGTTGGCGTTGTAGTATCGTGTGCGACTCAACTCCAAATACTGCTCCTCCACTGGGTCGGCCGGCACCTGCTGGATGGCCAGCCAGTACAGAGACTGCTCTCTGGACACACAGGAAAAGAGGAGACGTTTATTAAGATTGTTTGCAAAAAATTGGGACGGATTTTAACCTGGAAAAGCTCAATGTCACAACGTGAAGCAGCTGGGTGCCGTCGTTGATGAGAAGCAACGCCGCCGTCGCCTTTACCTTTGCTTGCTAGAGATCTCCTCCGGTTTGGGACTCCATCCCACAGGCACCAGTCGCAGGTTGTCCAGCCTGTTGTCCACTGTCACGGAGTTGATGTGGATGACTTGAAAACTGGGTGCGATGCCGCCTCTGTGCTTCTCCCTACATTCAAATCAGAAGTTAAACCTACGTTTAATAACTCGATCAAGTTAAGGTGAACCAGTCCAGTTTATATCTTTATAATCAGAAGGTTCTCACCATAACAGCTCATGCAAAGGTCTCCCTGCCCAGCGACCTTTGCCGATGTCAAATGCATAAGCAAAGATCTTGGCTCCGTTGCCGTCAGCATCTACTTCCATTCGTGCCTGGAAAAAAAAACAACAAGAAATTACTTTGTTTTTCATTAATGGGAAACAGACAGATGATGACAAACACGACCAGCAGATGAATCAGAATACCTCAAAGGCGTAATTCTCCACCAGTGGTATGTCCTGCTCATCAATTAGTGTGTATTTTGTCTGAAGAAAAAAAAAAGAAAAGAAAATTACTTCAGAATAACAAGAGCTGTTCAAACAACTACAATAAAAAAAGACTGTTAACATTATTTCTAAATAATGGACATGCACACGCATCAACCTGACACTGAAAAATATAATGAGAGTGGAAATGAATTATCTGTCATTGTGACACAGCACACCACTGCACACAATGAAATGTGACCTCTGCTTTTAACCCATCACCTAAGTGAGCAGGGGGGAAACAGGAGCACCCGGAGACAATGCTGAGAGCATCTCAGTGCTAACGTGGCAGCTTGTGGATTCAAACTTGAAACCTTCTGGAACCAAGTCCGCTTCCTTAACCACCAAGCCACCCAGTGCCCATAAGACAGGTGATCCGTCTTCGGTGCAAACAGATGGCAACTTCCTGAATGTTCCAGTAGTTTAACATCAAACTTTTACATTAGCTTTTTTCCTCTACGAGGACCAATCACAGACGAGGGACAACAAAAAACCTCAAAGACACGCATGTCCTAAGTTATAGGTTCACCAACATTATTAGCAGATGTGTCACGCATTTTAGACCCAACCTGTCAACCAAACAGCGAGTCATAAACTTGAAAAAGCTGGTTTATGACTTCCTGTTTGATCATGTCTTTTTCAAATGACATTTGGTTAGTAAAAGGTAGAGACATTTGTAAAGAAAAAAAAATCTTTTTGCAGTATTTTCTGGCAGCGTAGCGCAGCATCAGATTTGATGCAAATTCCTACTAATGTATTTATATCACATCAACATATCTGTGACAACAACACGGTGAACTCTTCCTGGGAGCAAAGTTGTCACTGTAAACGCTACAACTGTTGACTTCCCTGAACTCTATAAGGATCTGAAGTTCATCCTGGAGTCAGAGGAGTCTCCTGTATGGAGGTGGTCAGGCCCATTTACTGCTGCCTGATTTGTTTACTTTCTGGGTTTTCTCAGTCACATCATTCTTTCCGTCAAATATTGTGTTAGATTGGTTCGAGGGTGTTTTGTGTTCATGATCTTTATGCCACTCCTAATCTTTCCACTATCTCTAAAAATGGGTCAAGACCCACTTATTTATGGGGTCCTAGCAGGAATAGCAGCAGCAGAAGAACCACACATGACAGGACGGTAGTGGTTGGAGTCTGAAGCAACTGACCACAACTGACCATTTGTCGGAAACTCCAACTACCTCCCGACTCTCCCAGGCTGCCGGAGCTCTGTCAGTGACAGTTCGTGGGGCTATTAAAATGCGGACCAATTCACGAATAGGTTTTAGCCCACAGACACGCGAGGTGATGCTTTTACTTCCTACTGCCGAGCAGTTGTTGATAAAACCCACGGGCGTGTGAAAGTGAAGCGTGACCGCCGAGTGCATCGCTGTCAGTCAGCAGGTGACCGTTTAAACCTAGCGTGCGGGTCTTGTGACAGCAACGGCTACAGGAGCATTTCTTCAGCCACGGATACGCGGTTTAATGTGTGTGAATAACAACAAACAAGTACAAAAATGTAAACACCGTCTTGGGGGAGTCAGCGGTGCCGGTGCTTTGTCACGTTGCACAAAAGAATAAGTGGCTGTAGCATGGCGATGAAGCGACAGAGCGGCTAGCGTGGCAATGCTAACAGTACCACCAACAGAAAAACACGACTCGCTATTGTCGAGAAATAGCAATAAAATGTAACGCTTTCATAACACTCGTCGCTGACATCGACTCCGTACAAAGCATACGTTTGTTTTTG